GTACGGTGGATCCCGGGTGGTACCTGCTGCTTGGGGGGAGGGGGGGGGAGGGTTATTCTAGAATGTGTTATTTGCAGTATGCAGCATGTTGCGGGTGGTTGCGGGTTATAGTTGAGGTGGTGCTGCCTCTTGGGAGGGGGATGGGTGAATGGGAGAGGGGTAAAGTGGGTGAGGAGGAGGGGGTGGCATATACAATTGGCTGGGAAATGTTGGGGTCCATTGCAGTTTTGAGTGGTGGTTTGGGTTGATGGTAGGGGTGTAGACAGACAGGTAGTGTGGTTATAAACTGCATAATATTTAATGTATCATATCATATCATACGTGGGTATTGCTAGGTAAGCTACAGTAGTTTTATGCGCTTCTCTGGGTGGGCGGATTAAATGGGTATGATGGAAATTTTTTTTTGGTTGTTCTGCCCCCCGGAATGATGCATGTCCGCCCATCTATCCATCCATTTGTAGGTCTCAGGGGTTGGCTGTTGTCATGTTGCTATTATATCATACTTTGGGTGAGTTAGTGCTTTCAGGGGTTTGCGACCCGGTGGAGGTTTTGGTATTATTGGTTTGGCCCCAGGAAGATGCCTGCCCGTCGGCAACAGCCTTTCCAGGGTGGGGCTTGGTATGGACTAATTTATCGCCAAAATGGCGGTATACTGGCTTGTGTTCCTGGAATTACTCACTCCATTAGAGCACCTCTGTGAGCTCCTATCGAGGATGCCTATAGATAAGTGAATCTGCTTTGGGGACAGTCTTGCTGGTGGAGAAGGTGCTGAGGGTTGTGTTTTTGACCGAGTTGGCTCCAATTATCAGGTATAATTATACTAGACTTGGCTAAATAGCTTTCTGTGACCTTGGATTCGTCATAGATAGGAATATATCTCCTCCCCTGTAGGTGCAGTCACGACAGCGTGAGCCACAGATGCGGAGCGAGACTTGTTGATTTCTGGGAGGGCGTATATTGGGGCGCTTGACGTACAGGGTGGGGGCGATGAGTTTGGAACGCTCACATGGGCGCCGGGTACAAAAGTGTGGTTGCTTACGGGGTGGATTTGTATGGATCTAGTTGACTTGTGGCGGAGAGTGCAGCTCCGAGTTGGTGATGTGGGCGTTGAATATGTGGAGGGAAGAGGTAATGATCTGAACGAAGGTTTCACGGAATGAGGTGCATCGAACAGGAAAGAGCTATGGAGTAGAATAAGCAGGGTATACTTAGTGGAGAGTTCAATGGGCCCGGAAAGGGATGGG